CGGGCGCCGGCTGCGCCCGGGCACGCAGGGCCGCCCAAGGGCCCTCGTCCCGTGTCACGAGTGACAAACGGAGGGATCAGCGGGACGGCGGGCGCCCCGAGCACGCCGGATGCCAAGCGCGAGCCGGCCACGCGGGGAAGGCGCCGCGCACTTTGCACAGGCAGCTCCGTAATTTTTGTGAGGCTCCGTGCAGGGCGGTTCTCAGGGCAGGGCTCAGCGGTGCCACGCGGTGCCCTCGCAGCCCCCTGGCCCTGCTGGTGTGGAGGGAGCCCAGGCCGGCCCCTGCAGCGCGGCGCCCGCGCGCCCGGCCGGCGCTCAGCCGCACGCCCCTTGCTCCCRCAGAGTCGGTGCCCATGGCCGTGGTCATCGGCGTGGCCGTGGGCGCCGGCGTGGCCGTCCTCGTGCTCCTGGCCACCATCGTCGCCTTCTGCTGCGCCCGCTCCCAGAGAAGTAAGTGCCCCGCGGCCCCCGTGTCCTGCCCCGCTCTCCGCCCGGGCGCCTGGCGCGTGCCCAGGAGCCCCAGCTCCTCCCGGGTGGGCAGCGGGCGCTGAGCCGGCCCCGCTCCTGGCACAGACCTCAAGGGGGTGGTGTCGGCCAAGAACGACATCCGCGTGGAGATCGTGCACAAGGAGCCGGCCGCGGGCCGCGACGCCGACGAGCACCCCGCCATCAAGCAGCTCATGGTAGGGCTCCCATCCAGGTGCCCTTGTCTCCCCCGGCCCTTGGCGACTCGTGGGCACRGCGCGCTCGTGCGGAGGCCGCCGGAGCGCCCGGCTCCGTCCCCGCRTCGAGGGCTGCGCTTGGGCGTCGCGAGCGGCTCCTTCGGGGCCCCAGTGCCCTCTGACGGCGCCCGGCCTCACTGCAGCGCCCGCCCCGGCGCCTTGGCTGGCGGGGACGCGGGGGATGTAGGGGGACGCGGGGGACACAGGGGGACGCAGGGGACACGGCGGGACGCTCACAGCCCCTCTCGCAGCTGGACCGCGGCGACTTCCAGCAGGACTCGGTGCTCAAGCAGCTCGAGGTGCTCAAGGAGGAGGAGAAGGAGTTTCAAAACCTGAAGGTGCGGAACCGCCACCCCACCCCGTGTCCCCTTGTGTCCCCCCCCACATGTCCCTCACGTCCCCACTGTGTCCCCTTGCTTTTCCCCATGTCCCCTTGTGTCCCCCCCATGCCCCCTCGCATCCCTCTCATGTCCCTCGTGTCCCCCAGTGTCCCTTCATGCCTTCACTGTGCCCCTCTGCGTGTCCCCCCTGTGCCGTCCCTATGTCCCATATCCCCCCATGTCCCTCGCATCCCTGTGTCCCTCGTGACCCCGCCATGTCCCTCATATCCTGCCTGTGTCCCCCAGCTCCCCCTGGGTCCTTCGTGTCCTCCCCATGCCCCTCCCCATGTCCCTCACATCCTTCCCACGTTCCCAGCGTCCCCGCTGTGTCCCTCTCGTCCTTCCCCATGCCCCTCGCGTCCCCCCCGTGTCCCTCCCGTCCCCTCACATCCCACCCCAGCGGCGGCCCCGGCTCGGATCGGGGCCAACGCGGCCGTGCGCGCTCCCCGCAGGACCCCACCAACGGCTACTACAGCGTGAACACGTTCAAGGAGCACCCGGCGGCGGGCGGCGCGGCGCTGGCGGGCGCCCCGGCCGAGCTGCGCCCGCCCGGCAAGCAGCGCGTGCCCACGGGCATGTCCTTCAGCACCCTCTACAGCACCCTGAGCGGCCCGGGCCGCCTCTACGACTACGGGCAGCGCTTCGTGCTGGGCATGGGCAGCAGCTCCATCGAGCTGTGCGAGCGCGAGTTCCAGCGGGGCTCGCTCAGCGACAGCAGCTCCTTCCTCGACACGCAGTGCGACAGCAGCGTGAGCAGCGGCGGCGGCGGCCGCGCGGACGCCTACGCGCAGTTCGACAAGGCCAGCAAGGCGTCCGCCTCCTCCTCGCACCACTCGCACTCGTCCTCGCAGAACTCGGACCCCAGCCGCCCGCTGCAGCGGCGCATGCAGACGCACGTGTGAGCGGCGGCGCCCGCCGCCCCGGGCACTGACGGCGGGCGGGCTGGGGCCAGCGGCGGCGCGGGGACACGGCGCTCACCCAGGGGGACCCCCCTTTCTCCTCTCTCTCCCCCGCTCGCCCCCAATAAAAGCCACCCCTGAGGAGAGGGGGGGCCCAGGGCAGCCTCGCACAGCCACTCGGGCACCACTCGGGCCACCGCGGGCTCTCGGCCACCGCGGGGTCGTGGCCACCGCAGCCTTTCGGAGGCCACCRCAGACTTTCGGAGGCCACCAGGAGGTCTCATCCACCACGGCCTTTTGGAGGCCACCATTGACGTTTGGAGGCCGCCACAAGGTCTCAGCCACCACAGCTTTTCGGAGGCTGCCGTGGGGTTTTGGCCACCCCGGGTCTCGGCCACCGCAGCCTTTCGGAGGCCACCACAGGGCCACGGCCACCGCAGGSTCTTGGCCATCGCGGAATCTGGGCCATCGTGGCCTTTTGGTGGCCACCACGCAAGGAGCCCCACGGGGCAGCATGGGGTGCCGGGTGGGGGCCGTGGGGCCAGGGGCCGTGGGGCCGGGCTGAGCGCGACGCTCCCACGGGAGCCGGTGCCGGAGGTGACGCTGGAGCGGCAGCAGGTAAGAGCCAGCGCGGCCAGGGGCCAGGCGTGGCGGCAGGGTGTGGGGACCCTCCCCTCAAACACCTGCACTCAGGCGGGGGTGCACTCACGTGAGTGCAGGCTGAGTGTGGCTGTGGGCGAGGCTGAGTGAGCACAAGGGAGTGTGAGCACGGGGCGGCTGTGAGGGAGCGTCCAGGGCGAGCGCAGGGCTGAGGCCATACTGAGCCCTGCCAGGGACCCACTCACACTCCCCTGAGGGGACGTGCTGCACGGGGCACTGCCCAGAGCACCGCCTCGTACTCTGCCCTGTACCCACTCACACTCCCCAGAGTATCCAGAGTGCCCCTGGTAGCCAGTCAAACCCTGGCATATCCACCCCTCACCCCCTTGAGTATCCACTCCCTCCCCACAGGGAATCCACACACACTCCCCCGAGCACCCACTCACACTCCACAGAGGGCATACTTCCCCTGAGCGCCCACTCACACTTCCCAGGGAGAATTCACACTGTCCAGAGCACTCACACTCCCCAGAGGGAACACACGCACACTCTCCAGAGAGAACACACGCACACTCCCCAGAGTACTCACTTG